TTTTTAATGTAAAGTATTCGTATTGAAAGAGAGAAATGTTATTTACATGATGTTATTCATTTACAGTATGCGATAGGTTTCCGGCGTAATCATTCTACTGCATTCAACCTTTTTTTCTTCCATTTCATTGAGAAAAGACAGATCGAATCGCCATTGTACTTTAAAATACAATCTGTTGAGATAACGGATTATTTGACTTTGAACAGTGCATTATAGTTCGTTATCTCGTGTTCCTCACGTTACTCACTGGGAAAATTGTCTTCACGTTCCAGATGGGAAAATACCCATGCATCAAGTACGTTCTTCGAAAGTTGAACCGGTCTTGAACTACCAGAATTCAGCAGTACTATCCACTCGATCATTGGTGGGAATTGAAATATCATAACAGTAGAGCCATCTTCCTAATGAATTTTACATAATTTTGAAATAACGTGCATTTTATGATTTTGGAAGCTCGCTTTTAGGTCTCTTGCAGGATGTTTATTTACTTGTGTGCATCAATTCGCAATTATTGAAATTTACCTGTATTCTTTTATCGCAAATGAAGATTACGTTTATTTGTTTTCTATAATAGTTTATATTTTAAACTCATTCTTCAAGTCAAAAGAGAATTTTGTAGGGGGTGTAGTGCACTGTGGTGGGTTTTATTCTATAAAATAGATAAATATGTTCTTGCAACACAAATTGCGTAGCTAAATGTAATATAGTATTTTAAAAAATATTCACCACTTGTTTCTAAAAAATATTCACTTTATTTTAGAGGAATAAACACAGCTATTATTATTATATCGAACTGTGCATAAATAAAGTTCCTGACGACCATGTACAGCTGAGCGGAGAAGACAGTTTAACGCTGGTGTTTTGTCCCAAGTTCGACTCTTGATAGCTGCATGAGGGCTTTTTGAATTTTCTTTTGTGCCCTTATTGAAATCAAATCAGTTCCCGTCAGTAAATTCGTTTATTTATTTATTTATTTTTTAATTTTTATTTTTTTATAGCATGCATCACTTCGAAAACAGTTGGGAGTGGTTTGCAATAACAAAAGTTATCTATCGGCTATATATCGTATTTGAGGGAGTTTACCAGCTGTCTCCGTGTGTCAGATGCCAGTGAATTGACCGTTTAAGATCATTGCCCTTCCAATGTGGGACGTTGGACGTGAAGGTGTGACCTTGGAAACGTAGTTTTTATTTATCAACCTCTCTGCGTAACTGGAATTTTTTAGAATTTTTCCTGATCGATGCAATCTTTTTGTCGAAAGGTTTCTAACTGTAGGATGTTGCATAAGAATGTTCTGACGATTTTTATGACAGCGTTACCAGACAGTGAAGTAGAAAACGTACACGAGTATTGCTAGGAATGCGGTTTATTGAAATTTATCGAGCTACTTTTTCATTTTAAATTTACGTTAAGAAGTTTATTATGATTAATGCGGTTTTCAGTCATTCTCCAAAATTTCGCATACAACACAGTGGCAGTATCAGTTTGGCGAACATGGCGAATATCTTTTCTTTTCCACCAGATCGCGTGGAGGATAGAGTGGCATAGAAAATATGAAATTATGAATCCATTCCATTAGGTTGACTATTCAAAGTAATATTGTTGACATGTGAAGAGGCTTTCTTAGGGTACACATTTTCCTTGTCTTCTTTAAAGAGATTTGCCGTTTGTTATTTTTAATCCTCTTCATCTAAAAACAGATTCCAAGTGAAGTCTAGGACTTTTATCGTGACGAAAAGAGAAAGGGTTAATTGGCCATAGCTTTGGGTATGTTATAGGTGACGGTGTAACTTAGCTCTTCTCCTTTCCAATTTTGATAGGGAACACCCGTGGAAAAGGATCAAAAGGGTCTTTTTCCTTTCTTCCCCTACCACCAACTTCAGGGTACTTTCATCTCTATGATATTTTAAGTGTTTCTATGCCACAAAGATACTCTGCATTTATAAACAGCTATGTCTTCTCTGGGATTCGAAGCAGAGTAGTTTCAGACAATCACGTGGCCCCCGAAGTGCTGAGATTAAACTGAAACTGGAAGTCTTGAAAGCTGTTGAACGAAAGATCACATCCTTGAAAGTGAGTAGTCCCAGATTTAGGTTTTGTCGCCTTGGGTACCAAATAGGTGACAGTACGATTTTGACCAGTTCCACTCCAAATATTGAGAAAGATCACTCCGAGGGGGATGGGTCTGAAGATCTCCCACCTCTCTTTCCCTACCACCAAACCACACGAGAGGATTTTTCGGAACATCCATGGCTTCTCTGGTATTCGAACTCGGGACCTTTGGTACGGTGGAGTCAGAGTCACTAACCACTATCCGCTTGGGTGGATCTGAAGTTAAGTTGTATTTATTGCTTCTGCAGTTACTGAATAAAATGCTTTGTATTTTTGCCTCATCATGCTGATTATAATCATCTCCTTAATCTGTATTTCTTAAAAACACTGTTTCATGATTCTCAGCGAACATTCTAGATAAAATCTCATAAATACTAGTTGTTTAATTTATTTGTTTAACTGCATTTCGGAAAAGTTGCTGTACTCGAAGAACAAAATACGATCATTTGCCATTAAGCATAGTAAATTTAGTTTCCATTTTTACAACTTTATTGTTTATTCATTCGTTTACCCCCTCCCCCTCTTTACAACCTGAAATCATATTTCAGTATTTTACCTCTCGGCTTTAATGAATCTTTTCAAAAGCGAAACCCTTTTGTATGTTATTGTTGGTCTAAATTCATCTCTTCTGTAAGTCTTCAGACTCCGTTAACTTTGTTGCTTTAGTGTTGAGTGTATTAGTAATATGTCGACCTGCTGCGATATGTTTATCTTTTATTACACAGTTGACGCTGCTTAATATGTGATCACGTTTATCCACAGCTGTTTTGGTAATGTTTATCGAATGATAACATTTAAACTATGAGAAGAAATGTTCTTCAAAATGCAATGGATTTTAACTAATTTAATATAAATAAAACTAGAAGTATATAAATAAGTACTTTCACAGCATTTTGATAGGGAAAGTGCAAAAGTTTATGAATGTCTTTTAATCAAAAGTTTATGTATGAACTGTTTATTACATTTTTCGAAAGTTATTTGACCGATGCTGTACATTTAATCTTATTACTCGGAATGCATCCGTCATTGAAAAATAACTCTTTAGTGTAAAATTTAAAATTAGAATAAAAAACAATCTTTTTTTGGCGTAAATATTTTCAGAGAATTTGTTTTAGTGAGGGAAAAAAAAAGTCTGCAGGAATTATTTTGTTTCTGAAGAAAAGGAAATTGCGTTTGATCACTCTTAAAATCGATAGACTAAGTGAGTTGTTTGGCTACTTAATCCCTGACTTGGCGATGTTTCTCGTCATTTTACAATTTTTATAATCAATTTCGAGCTTTTTGTTCGACTTTACTGTCATTTAAAAATTCATTCTGTAATATTTTGATCATATTAACCGAATTATTGATCACCATAAGCAATGCATTTTCCGTATTTTCTTATAAAAGTGCGCAGGACATGAGAAATTCGATAACAATACTCGAATGATATAAACATTAACCGCGATCACTTTAAATGGCGTCAAGTCAGGCGCCTTTGGTCAATCACTCGAATACATTTTGCTTTTCTGAATTTTAATCTGATGTTGTTTTTCGAGCACATTTTGTGTGTATATAGTGTGTCGTCCTATTTTGTACTTCGTTTATTGAAATAACTGATCTAAGAACTGTATTTATTCCGTTCAGAAAACTTTTACTGCAGTGGAAATGAGTTGATGTTGAAAGCTTCTTACTCCGCTGGAAATATCGAAATGGCGCATGTATCTTTCAAGAGAAAATTTTGCGCATGTTGTCCTGTAATCCTTTAAATGTTCCGAAGTTTCAGTGTGCCTGTTGGAGCAAATTTAAAGGTGCTAAGTGTAAACTATTCCACGGGGTTTTGAAAAAATTTCCCGTAATTGTCAAATAGCAAAGAATGTATTAAATACTTTCAGAACCCGTATCGGAGTACGCTATTACAAGTTCATAAACATGTCACATTAAGCAATCATTCGAAAGGATCGCCAGCAGTGATAATCATTTGATATTTTGATACATTACCTTCCGAAATTCGATCCAATATTTTTTTTTAAACAAGTCTCATTTATCGAAATCGTTTGTTGGAGAAGAGTGGGATGCCAGTAATTTCCCGCCGACATGACCTTGTCCTGCAGGCAGCAGAGCCAACTTTGCGAATGAAGGGTCGTCTGTCTCCCGCACCATCTGTTATGAAGTCTTTAAAAACAAAGAGTATATTATGTTTTAAATTCCTTAATTGTCTTAAGACTGTAGGTGTTCTTGTTGAAAATACTTGTTATTTGTGTTGGTATGAATTTCAAATTACCTATGGCGCTGTTTTATTTGAAACAAGATTTCATGAATGGCTAGATTCAATGTCATGTTTGTACAGTTACGTATCAGTGTCATTAACTTGAGAAGTGTAGGTTGCGTATGTGGCCTTTTTTTTAAAAACTTTTTTTATTTGGCATGGTGCGTCATTCTAATCATGAACTATATGTTGTAGCTCAATGTCGACGTTTCAGGACATTAAGAATCCCTGACGGTTAACTAAAGAGGATGTAGGCGAACTCCAAGAATGCTCTCCGATAATATATTGCATTTCTTTAAAACCCAACAAAACTTTAACCAATAAGGTTTTGAAAAATTTTTATAATTTCTGTTTTAACTGCTTAAGAACTGAAACAATTAACTTTTCAGCTGTTGCCATTTTTTTTTTTTTTTTGGTGTGTGTGTGTAATAAATTATTTGTATTGTTAATGGAAAATAATTCTCTTGAACAAAAGGAGGGGGAAAAAAATCATATTCAGTTACTTTCAGGCACCAGCTGCTAATAAATATTATAATATTAATGAAAAATTTAGATTGCATTTTTTTACATAATTTTGTTTGCATATAAAGTGGTAAAAATATATACTCATAATTGAATGAAAGAATTATAGTTCACTTACTTTTACTGTTGTTGCTGATTGTAGTTAGTCCAAGCCCACGAAATTCCTCCTGGCAAGAAGCGCAAGCTTACGCCTGCCGTTGGCAAAAGAATTGAGCCCCTCCTTTCCGTACCATCAACCTCTCGAGAGGACTTTCGGCTCGTCGCATATTTAGAGTGCCCCCATGCCGCACGGGCACTATATATTTACAAACATCCATGCCCGGCAGTCAGCGGCCGCTAAACACTATATCAGCGGCACTTACTTTTAATAACGGTTTAGAAGGTTAATAACGGTTAAGGCTTCTGCAATAAGTAAATTCAGTCTTCAGTGGAGCAGAAGTAAAGTATTCCGCCTTCCCATTTTAAAAAGCAGTATTGCGCTTTCCAACTTTGGGAGAAACCTGCGCTATGAGCAGTTTGTTAGAAAGTTGTTCATGCATAATTAAATTGCTACTCAGAAGGATAACTTCAGAATAGGAACTTCAGAATGCATATTATATAAAGTGTTTTTATGTATAAAAGAGATTATTATCTACAAATATCACTGATTTTTAACTGGAGCTAATAACGGCATTAAAAGAAAGAAAACAATGACATATGTGACGCATTTTGCGAATATGAATCAATCTTTTTAATCTATACATAGAGCGCTGATAAAAATTTCCTGAATTGTAATTGCATTTTTCTAATCGAATTGAATGCCAGATTGGCCTTTTTTGATTTAGCTAAACTTGTTTTTCAGACGAAAGGAATTGCCTGAAGGCCGGTGTATCTGTGGATGGTGTACTTTGCTTATTCACTGATTTATAATCAGTTTGACATTTGAAAGGAAAGCTAATGAAGGGTCGAAAACATCTGAAGGATAAAAATCCGAAAGAAAAAGTGGTTAGCGAAACTCGAAAACCTAATTTGCATTGCCAGAGAGCTACAAAATTCGTCTGTCCAAAACGTTTAAAGTAGAAATCACAGATTATTAAAACTTGATTCTAAACTTGACGTTGCTATGAGGGAACTAAGACAAGATGCGAAGAAAGATACCATTATATTATGTAGTTAGACAACGTGTCCAGCTAAAGATAGTATGTTCAAGGCTAATTAATTGAGGTAAAGCAACTTAAGAGCTGTCTGCCTGTGGGAAAGGATGCCTCCAGCGGGGGATACTTTTAAAGAGAAGTTGACTCATATTCACATTACACACAGGAAAAGCCACGAAAACCCCAGTGCAGTCCAGGGCTAAAGAAAAAGACAGTCAGCCCGTTCGCCGGGATTAGAAACAGGTTGAAATATAGTGGTGTAACCAATCCTTTAACATAAACTGTTCGACTAACTGTGACAACAAGGCTGCCCTCTGGTGACTAGCCAGAGAAGTACTTCAGTAAAAGCGAAGGGTCCCGCTTGATAAGTTGTATGAGACTCTTGCTCTGTGATTTTTCTTAAAGTTAAATGTAATGTCTGTGTGCAACTTAAACCTGTTAATAAATGCTTGTTACACTATACAGGACTCTTCTATGACCCTATCTAAAACGACCCCTTCACAGTGGGTAAAAAAAGTATTGGCAATTGCCTATGATTAATCATATTAACTAACGAAGGAAATTCTTGACAATTTTAACTGGACACAAAGAACGCAGGAGGTAATAAACATACAAATCTAATGAAAGTTTCATTTCAATATGCTTTTTACACAAAAAATGCAACAAAAACGTAAATTTGCATGTCAAAAAAGTATTGACTAGATCATACAGTAAAAATGCGAAAACACAGTTTAATATTTTGTAGTCATACCTTTTGTATTTATAACACCTTTTTTAAATCTATTTTTCATAGAGAAAACCATTGTACTATTGGGAAAAGATTTGGTTGTACTATTGAGAATTCTGTGCCATTCTTGCAGAACTATAAGATTAATATCATCTTTGCACGAAATTTTGTTTCCTGACTTCTAGGTTGAATAAATTTTCATAAATTTTCAATTGGATTTATATCAGGTGAATTAACTGACAAGGAGCGTTGTAGAGTAACTAATCCCAGGTAAGGTTCGTTGTGTGCTTAGGGTCATTGTCTTGTTGAAACACGAATGATGTTCCTAAGCCAAGTTTTGGGGCGCTGAATTTCAAGTTATGGCGCAATATGTCAATGTACGTACGCGCTGTCATAATACCATCAATGAAGCACAGATTACCAGCTCCGTTTGGGGGGGGGCTGCTGCCATCAGCCCCAAACTACGACGCTCTCTCCGCCATATTTCACAGTCGGTATTAAATGATTTTCTTCCATTTCGGAGCTTGGCTTTCTTCACACATATTGTCATTCATTAATCCCGAAAATGTTAAACTTCGATTCGTCGGAGAAAATAACTCTGTTCTAAAATTTGTCTGCTAAATTAACATGAGATTTTGCAAAATCTAATCTCTTTCTCCTGTTTATTTCTGAAATGAAAGGTTTCTTTCTAACTGGCCTTCCATAATAACTTTCTTCATGTAAAACATTTCGTATAGTCAGAAAACTAGAAGTTTTATGCGAAGTATTAGCGACATCATTGGCAAACTGGGGTACACTTAATTTAGGGTTTTCTTAACCTCTTTGATAATGCCACGTTTTTCCTTTGTAGAAAATATTCGAGGCTGTCCACTTCTAATCTTATTTTCCGTCTATTCTGTCTCGTTGAACTTTTTTACAACATTTCTAACAGTTAATAAATTTATGTTCAGTTGTATTCCTATAGCACGATAATTTAGACCCTCATTGCTGAGCTGAATAATCATGTTTTTAACATTAACGTCCAACTCTTTCGACTTGGAAGACATTTTATCACAGTATTAGCAAAATAACGTTTTAAAAATGCACGGCAGACTTTATACTAACAGTTTCTTATCAGTCTAAACACGTGACCTCAACATAATAAAATTTGCATAGTAATTAGAACTTTGCAAATACTTTTTTGACATGCAAATGTACGTTTTTATAGAATATTTTGTATAAAAGACGCATTAAAATGAAAGTTTCATTAGATTTGTATACTTATTACTTCCTGTGTTCGTTATGTCCAGCTAAAATTGTCAAACATTTCCTTTGTTAGTTAATATGATCAATTATAGGCAATTGCCAATACGTTTTTTACCCACTGTACTAGTGTTCAGCGACCTTACAGCTGGCTCCAGCGGAGAAGAATCAAACTCGTTAGTGAATTACTCTTCTTAAGCTTGTAGGGTTTATATTTACTTTAACTAACATTTATTTTAAGTTTAAACTATCTTTCCTGTCAAGCCTTACTTTCCCCTGGAACTGCCAATGCCAAAGTATGTAAATTTGAGTAGAACGCGCAAGGATTCAAATTATCAGCGGAAGTATTTTGAGTTAAATAGAAAGGAAACGAGTTCGAGATGTGCTGTTCTTACTTCACGAGCGCGGAGGTAGTTAGCCAGAAATTGAAGAACCCCGCGTTTCGGCCTGTGTGCTTGCCTCGGAGAATTGTTAATCGTTTCAACGTGATATCCAAAGTTAGCTGAATTAGCAGCGGTATTGTAAAACGCGGTGAGGTTAGTTACGTTTAGAGAGCCTCGTAGTTAGAGTCTTGTTATTATTTCTTTTCAGGTTCTTATTTTTATTTTACCGCCGGGTCGGCGTAGTTTGTCAGCGTCAAGAGCACGCAATTGTAATTTCTTAAGTTGAATAAAAACGGACTTAAACCCTTAGCAAGACTCTGTCTATTTTCCAGTTTCAACAGTCACCTCTTGGTTGCGTGCAGGTTGGAGGCGCGCAACTCTACAAGCTGTACAAAGAAATACAATAAAAGTGATGTATTTGCAGCACATTTGACCACAGTTCTACAGGATATCAAAGCAGTATTACTGCTGGGGAGAAACGGCAGAAAAGCGTATTTTTAGACAAATGTATATGAATATCTTAATGATGTTCCTGCAACTCTATGAGTAGCATCAAGACGTCAATTGAACTCTTGGGAAGCATATATAGCAACATTAGATCACACAAAACATTTGCATAAAACATCAGGGCGTTGGACCTTGTAACTTGAAATCCACCAGTGGTGATGTGATAAGACCGTTGAACATTGCCAATTCGATTCGAGTTCAGATCCAGCGAACGGGCAGACCCGCATGGGAATTTTAATGGATTTCATGGTTTCATTGCGACTGCGATCCAGTTTTGAATAGAAAGCCTTTAACGAGGTATCGCTTCTCATACACAGATAATCCTAACATGCTTTACAATAATTCAAATAATTTAGTAGAATACGGTAACTATTTTAAATCGAATTAATAACCGTTTGACTATTTTATATTCATCTCATTGCAACAATTGGAGGAAATGTTAAGAGGCGAATTTTTTTTTCCCCGTGTATTGTTAGTGTTATGAAATAACCCTTTCTGACAGTAAACTACATTTTCCTTTTTAAAAACGTGCTTGGATTGATCACTGTACATTGTTAAATGTGAAGTAGACCCTCTGCTAAGCTGCTCTGGTCGGGCAGCGATTGAGAAAGTGTAGGTGTTGGAAGTGACCCACTTTCTGTGTTGTTCCTGTAGCCTAATAGCGGTGTAAACAGTTTTTTTATTTCAAGCATCTGAATGTCGAAAAACAGTGTGTACTTTGGAACCATTTTTTATCATTTCCAACGAAACGACGTGTTTACCTTTTCTACGCAGCCATTTTCAAAAACTTCATTGTATATTTTATAGCCTGATAGATTTAAACACCGTTGCGTTATCTGTTATGTATATTTTAGCATCTACTTCGTATGCGTGCTATTTAGATTATATCGGTTTATTTTTAAATCAGTTCATTTGCAGCCGCAATTTTTGTTCCTCCAAGTAGGAACAATTTTAATTTATTTGTAGTAAAAAAGGCGGCGTGTTTAATATTCTGTGAATTAAGTGGTTTGTTTCGTTAAGTTAAACGCTAGCTGCTGTGGATTCTAACTTTTTTTTAGCCCAGAAGGGCTATTAGTCTCGAATTGGGATTATTTGTTGGTACACTGTAAATGGCAAATCACTTTTCAAATTGTTGCTGCCATAAATGATGGCGCTGTATTGTTTTTATCGAAATTAAATAATAAGAATTCTCATGTATGCATGTCGTGCTTATAAAGAACATTAATTTTTTTTATTATGCAAGGAATGTGAAAAATCAACTATGCCTTCTCGTGAATTCGAACCTCGAATTTTTTTCAATTTGCTAGTGGCCCATCAGC